CGCAGAGAAATCTTCAGCCATAACTTTTCTTTAGTGGGAAGATTTCATAGCTTGAGTATAAGAAGAGGAATCCGGGTAGGATGTGCGTTGGTGAGATAGATTTAGGCGTTGTATTGGTTTGAGTTTTCTAGTGTTTGCTTTGGTTTGCATTGGATGAGATTTTGGTGGTGCAGGTTTTGATGGATTTGGGATGTCTTCTGGATTAAGTGGCTATTGTATAGTTATTACCTTAAGTAGAGGTGCTAGATTTGGTGGAATATTCATATGGGTTATTGTAGATATCTAAAGGGTGTTTGAGTGAGTGACTAATTTAGTGTGTTGCACATATGTGGGACTAAGGAGTAAGGCATTAAGAAAACCTGAGACTTGTTTTGGTAAGAAAGTCATAGAGGTTGGATAAGTAAATACATTTTCATTAAAGACAATATGACAAGAAGTGATAATCTTCACAATTTGTGGATTATAGCATTTGAATCCTTTGTGGGTAGAGGAGTAGTCATGAAATTCACAAGAAGTAGATTGAGGGGCTAGCTTGTGTGGTGGTTGGGGTTTAAGCCATGGATAACAACATTCAAATATTCTGAGTTGTTTATATGTTGGTGGATGTTGATATAGCAGCTCATATGACAATCTAGAGTAAGTGTTTTTTTATGACATGTGATTGATAAGGTAGGGAGTTGTTAAAAGTGCATTCATCCGAAAGTTGAGTTGGAGATGAGCATCATATAATAGGGTTTATGTTGTTTAGATGAGATGGTGATGATTATAGTCAACCACTCCTTTTTGTTCCACAATATATGAACAAGAAAGTTGGTGATGTATGTCACGATTAGATAAAAAATTTTGAAGGAGCGAACTGGTGTATTCGCCTCCCACTTTTGATCTCAATGTTCATATAGGATTATCAAATTATGTACTAATCTTTTGATAAATGATATATACTTATGGGACATTTCAGATTTTTGGGTTGTTAGGAATAACTGAGAGAACTTAAGAGTATACATCAATAAACACAATGCAATATTTATATCCATAATTAGATACAAGAGGGGTGTGGCCCCATACATTGGTGTGTAGCAGTTGTAGTGTGGAATACATATTTGAATGATGTTAGAAAAAATGTTGTTTATGGCATTTTTGATAATTATAGCTATTGCAAGGTAAAGTCCTCAGTATTAATCTATGTAGAGTTTGTGTCTTATGTTGTCATAGCAGCTGGTGATTGAACAATTAGATAGTCCATCAGAGCTATTGCCATGGAGATGTAATTATTGATTATGTGGATATAAGATGGAGAATCCAGTGGTGTAAAAATGAATGACAATGTTATTTTCATTAATAAGTTTTTGTATAGATAAAAGGTTGTGTGAGAAGGAAGGTACATGCAATATTTGAGAGAGAATAAGCTTACGATTGGGAGTTGATAAAATATCATCATCTTTATGTATGGATGGAATTGACTGACCATCACCTACCATTACTTGATCAGTGCCATCAGCTGGTTCAACCATTTGGACTTGGTTAAAATCTTAGGTGAGATGCATTATTGCTCTCGAGTCTAGCACATCTGTAGGTGTTGTAGTTTGCAGGGCATGTTTGGATGGGATATAGTCCATATTCAATCTATGCTAACATGTTTTTGTTGAAGGACCAATTTGCTGCAGATTTGACAGATGACAGATAATCGTGATTGAGATCGACCTGTTTAGTTCTCGATTTAAATGAGGATTGATTTCTACCACGACCTCTGTTTGAGTTGGATTATCTTCTTCTAGAGGTTTTGATGGCTAGCTGAGGATTGGAGTTATGTTCCAATTTATGGTTTTCACTGGCAATGTTGATTTTTTCACTCCATAAGAGAGTAAAAGTTATTGATATTCATCGATTAAAGCTGGTTCAAATTGAAGTTTTGAAAGCTTGATATCTGACAGGTAGCCCGTTAAACATATATATAGGATGATATCTTCTTGGTCTAGCTTTCCTTCCGCATCTACAATATTATTGACCAGTGATTTGTTGTTTGATAAATTTTGGATCATGGTTTGATTGTTCATGGAGAGTTTGTGAAATTCACTATTCAACTGAATTAGTCTAGAAATGTTGTCGGGTTGCAGCCTTCTTCTAAGTGTATTTTAGATTTATATTGTAATCGAAAGATGTTTAAAACATGGTAGGACAACAGGGAAAATTGAAGAGTATGATGTGGTTTCTAGGTTTTGATCAATCATAATGTAATTGGAGTATTGGCAATTTTTTTGTGGACAAATATGCATTATCAAAATTTAGGAGGACATTCTATATTGCCATCTAAGAATCTAATGAAGTCTTTAGTTATAAAAATGTTTTAAGACCTGAGCTTTTCACATTTGATAATTATGAGTTGAGAGTTAGGTTTGGGTGAAAATTTTGATTTTGCTCATTAGAAATTTGAGAGAGAAAAGAATGTTTGAGATTTACAATGATTGGAGGGAAGAGAATCCATGGGTTTTGAAGGTTTGAGAATTGACCATTTTAGATAGCAAAGATTCAAGTGAAAGCAACATACATACATGAACTGATCATCATATTTTGAACATGAAGCTCAAATTAACTTGAGCTTGGCTCTGATACCATGAGGACTTGCTAAGCTAAGCACTAAGGGAAGAATATTACATAGAAAAATGGTAGAGGAATAAAGAAATACTCAATATATTCCCCAAATTCTATAGGCACAACTTTGGCCACGTATAAAATGGTAAGAAGTTTCTAGCATTAAGATTATTACAGATTTTGCTATCAGGTGGTTACATATCCCGCACATGGTTGTGCAAGAGGTGTTATGGTTGTTTCAGACGGCCTTAACATATTGAGGGGATCTTGTTGGGTAATGAATTAACAAGAGCAAAGAATTGTACATGACAACAAGGTAATAAAGCGGTCAAGTAATGTTTTTACTTCTTTGTTTTTTCGTTACACTTAAATGTATAGTATATTGGTTAGAAATAAAGTGAAATATTTTAAGTTATTTGTCAAAAAAATAAAAGAGAAAGGGAAATTTATATATATACCATACAATTCTCATGAATTTACATATCTAGGATCTAAAGTTTGATATTTACATTTCTATAACTTTGGCAATAAATCAATGCATGGAAATATGTATTTCACTCTCATAAATTTAATAAGATTGATATTTTCTTATATAATGTTTAAGATTATAGTTTTATGCATGTAAATAGAAAAACTTAGTTGTTTAATTTGTGAATACATAACAATTGTGTGGTATACATGTAAATGTCGATGTTATGTGAGTCGATAAATAGTTTTAGGTGTTTGAGATATAAAACTTGCTAATTTTAAATGTGTTATACGTAGAACTTTCTTCTTATTATTACTGATTTAGACTAATTTTTTTATTTCAACCAAATATGAGAAATGATATACTGAATTTAACAATCAACCAAAAAAGTTTATTAGAAATATATGATTTCCACTTTACATTTCTTTTTAAAAAACTATCAAATCATGTATATATGCAACTAAATCGCCTGTCAATAAAAGTCTTCCTCATGGTCTAATTATTGCATGCGGAGAACACACGCAGCTCTGCGTGCGCTATCCGATCACAGCCGCAATGTATGACAGTGGGTCCCATTTTCATACAGCCGCGATGCGCGACTGTGATGGGAGAGCTGCGTGCGGCACTCTCCACACACAATAATCACTCCTTCCTCATGGTCTCGTGTGATCTGAGCTTGCGGATAAGATATGTCAATTAAAGCAAAATAATGTCAATATAAAGTCTTCAAGAATTTACTAGAAGGAACATAATGGTCTCCGAATTCCAAAAGAGAAGTCAAAATACATAAAATAAAATCATGAGAAGAAAGCAATGAAAGCAATATGATATTCATCATTATATATTGACAAATTTCTAATGGGTTTTTATATGACAAATTTCTAATGGGTTTTAAGTGTATTTTAACATAGGGGAATTTACATAAGCACCACACAATTTTTATGTATTTACATATCCAGCATCTAGATTTTTACATTTATATGCAGAACACGTAAATCTTTAATATTACATTAAGAATATAAATATCACTATTATCAATTTTTAAATACTGAAATACAATTTTCATGCATAAACTTATGACAAAGAAGTGTTAAAACTAAAGATATCTAACTATAATTGTTAAGTTTGTAAATACATAGAAATTAGGGATATACCTATGGCAACACGCTTTGTGATGAGTTCGCCATGAGCGCCTATCATAATGAGAAAATTTGGCGATGCTCTCGACGCAACGAAGGGATGTACGTATATGTGTTGTTAACTTTGCCTATAGGCTATGATTCACGGACATTTCTAATTAAAGAGTCTTGCAGTGTAAAACACAGAAACTTGTCAGACACGCCCCAAACACGCATCAGACACGTCATTGTCCAATTTAAATAATATTTAAATAAATAAGACATGTGTCTTAAACTAATGAATTAGTTTTTTTTTTTTTTTTTTGTAAATATCTTCTGTATATTTTTTTATAAATAAAGTAAAAAAATTTATTCAAAGGTTAAATCTATATGTTCAATTTATCTGTCCTATCGTTTTTTCTAGCGGACGAGGTCAAGTGATTTGTCAATCACTCGCCTGAGCTGATATTTCTCATTATGGATATCTTAGTTTCAGAAATATAATGCTATTAAAACTTTTTTTTTATATTATTCTTAATATTTTACTTGTTATATATAATGACAAAAGGCTATCATACAAGCACTAATCATCCCTCATGCGCCTAAGAATTCGAGTACCATGTCCTACACTCAGGGGGAATCGAACCCCTGACCAGAGAGGACTTACAACTGATAAGCAAATGTTAAACCAACTAATCTGAGTAATACGATATGAACAATTATGTTATTAAAAATATAGGGCATTGGCATGCGTCGCACGCCATTATAATAATAATAATAATAATAATAATTATTATTATTATTATTATTATTATAATGGCGTGCGACGCATGCCAATGCCCTATATTTTTAATAACATAATTGTTCATATCGTATCGGGTCCAGGTTCGCGTCCTCGGGTTTGCATCCTCGTGTCTGTATCCATACAACATACACCTGAGAACCTTATTACAAACTATATCATACACTTACAGAACCTACAAAGCTTATGAATCAAATCTTTAACTCACCTAAACAATAAACTAAGGTTTGTGAACGCTCCTCCTCATCAGCACGTCCCCAAATCTTCGTAAAGCCGTCCTCTTCTTCTTCTTCTTCTCATTCTCTGTATCACTGAACAGAATCCCATGTAAATGATCAAAATCATCAGTATTGATTCCCCTGTCATCACTGAACAAAAATGAAGGGAGACCAATATCATGCCCATTCGATACAGAACCAGGTTTCTCCTTCTCCAATCCCAAACCCCTGCACAAATCTGACTCTCCAACCGAAAGCCTGTGGCCATTCTGCTGTACCAGAGGTTTCATGTCTGTCCATCGATCAGATGAGAATTTCCTCGCACTCTTACTTATCTTTCGATCATCAGCTGTCGCTTTTGAAAGTTTGAAAGATTCAAAATCTGACAAAGTTTTGATCTTGTTTGATTCTGCAGCTGAAACCGAGGCAAGAAGGCTCTTGAGTTCTCTTACGCTGTCAAGAGCAGCAGCCTCGCTCACTTTTAAGCTTTCATAATCATGTTTGATCTGCTGCAACTCATTTTCCTTCTTTGAGAGCTGTTCCTCAAGTTCATAATTTTGCAATCTGGCAATTTCTAAAGATTCCTTAATCACTGTAGCTTCGTTTATTGCTTGTTTGATTATATCCCTAAGCTTCGATGTCTCTTCTCTAGCCATTCTATGTGCATCTGTTTGTCTGCTAATCTCTTGATCCTTTTTGTTCGTTTCTTCTTCAGAAATCTTTATGCAGTTCATAAAGCTGTCTTCTTTCTCTTTCCAGGCAACAGTGGAATCCTCATATTCTTGCTTAAGTTGGTTATACTCCTTCAGTACATCGTGTAGCTTCTGTTCGCTACTTTGTAACAGAGAGTTATTAGAATGTTGAGCTTCAGCTCTAACCTCTTCAAGCTCGGATTTTGTTGCAGCAAGCTCTGATTTTGCCTGGGTGGCCTCAGCAGTCACTTCCATAAGGGCCATTGCTAAATCATCCATAGCTTTTTTGCTCTTCTCTTCAGCCTGCAGAGCCAACCTGAGCTCATTTCTAAGCTTTCTGATTTCGTCCGTGGCCTGAATAGAATCTAACGATCCATCATTTTCTGGGTTTGGACAGCTTAAGCATGGAAGGTTCCTTATCTCCAGCTTGGCTTCTTCGAGCAAAATCTTTGTTTGCTCAAGCTGCTTGGTCTGAGAAAACAGTGACTCGAGCATTTTACCTTCTGATTCCTTCGCCTTTTCTGCTTCTTGTTCTAACATATTTATCCTATCTTGGCTATGTAAGGATTCTTCATTCTTCTTCTTTTTCAGTTCTTCAAGTTCTTGAAGTGCAGAGGATCTCTCCTCCTTCGTCCTCCTCAGGTCCTCCTGGAGCTGGCCCCATTGCTCTTGCATGTCGGGAACTCTCACAGGTTTTTGCTTCTATTGCAAGCAAAGGAAGATCAATTACAAACTTCAGAAAAACTTATGTTTAAAAGATCAAAATTTGCAGAGGAGGTTTGTGATTTGCAGGCACCTCTTGGAAAGATTGTGGCTTTGGAGAGGGCTTCCGTTCAGAAACCTTTGAAGGTTTAGATTCAGTAGAATTAGACCAAACGATTGAACTTTTTCTTAAACAGGGCGAAAGACTCCTTCTGGAATTGGGAGCAGATGGAGAACTCTTTCGCTGCACCTCAGATGATCCAGGTCTTCAAATTGAAAAATAAACTAACAATCAACTTCAACTTGAACAGATAAAAACCAGACTGGATTACCTGATAATCCACTCAAAAGCATTAATAAAAGAGGGAGCTTTACAGTACCTCGAACTAAAAGATTGCATCTTGAGCAAAACTCAGATTGAATCTCCTCCTGAAATTAAGAAACCTATTGAAAAACTATAGCAAACACGATGAATAAGAAAAAAAAAAAAAAACAGAGAAACTGTGTACTAGAAATTAGGAGAAGGCGTTACCAAGATGAAAACTTTCAGAGCTCCAAGCTCTCTAAGACCAAAGTCAACCACCCCTGCGCATCAAATTTCCAACTTTGGATGGCTTCTGCGAGCTGCGAGTTGAGAGAGAGAGAGAGAGAGAGAGAGAGAAGAGGTTGAAGGAGGGTAGAAAAGAGAGGGGAGGGAGGCAGTATTCGGTGAAGTGGAAGTGATGACCGTAAGATCTGAGGTGGGGTTTGCGAGTCTTCGGTGGATGGATCGGACGGCGGCTGGTAGTTTTAGGTTGTATTCTACTGCACGCGTGATCGCACCTTGCGGTTTTGACACAGCAATGAATGAATATTATGACGTCATCCAACGGGCGTTTGCATGCATACCACCAAATTCCAATTTATTTGCACATCTAAGATCAAAACTTTATTTATTTATTTATTTTAATATGTACTACTATCTTTTATGACATATAAATCATCATTATTTCGACTAAGAAAATAAAAATACCCTAATATGTATGTAAATATTGAAGTTTACATATTTAATATGCAAATACATAAAAATTGAATTCCAAGGAGAGGTTATTTTTCCATGAGACATTTGATTACAATGAAAAAACTATGATGTAAAAAAAATTATGATAGTATGATTATATGAAGCAAGCATGATTTTTTTCATTCCAACAATTTTTTATTGAACTATGATATGTTTTCAAAAAAAATTATTTGTGTACAAAGCAAAATTATCGGCACATATCTCAAAGCAATTGAACTGCTAAAGATGACGACTCAACAATCGAGATATTAAATTCAAGAGGCATGATCTGAGCTGATCATCTGAAAAATCAACGGACTGATTAAGTCTACCATTGACAAATCCACTCGATGAGTGTACCATCTGTCCTAATCGCCGAAGCTCCTTAAAAGCAGATCGAACGCAACCGGCTGACCAACTACTTATACCTCGACTAAAACGACCATCATGAGGCCCATTGCTTTGTTTAGCCAAACCAAAGCACATCTACCTGCGGGTTTTTGCCATATCCAAATTTAAATTGCAATGCAAATTTAGTATTAAATCAATATATTGATTGCATTAAGGGCAGTTTACATAATCACGCACTACTTTCTATAACTGTATGAATACAACCTTATAAATATGGGTCAAAAGGACAGATAAAGGGACTCCCGATCTGTGAACTTTTTCCGGCTACTTTACTAAGAATTTCTTAACACTTTTCGCCTCTCTCTCCTCCACCTCCCGGCTCTGACTCTCAAGAAGTGTATTTCTGAAAGATAATTCAAGATCCAACATCCAGAAAGGTGGTGCAGTGATCGTGGACATGCCCCAGACGAGAAGCGGAGCCAACTATGAAGTAGAATCCTCAAAAAGAGAAATAGCGCCCATGAAATTCAATAAAAAGAAGATGTGTCGAGGCATACATGAAAATGTCCAGGCGCTTTGAGCGCAAATTATGGATTGATTTGAGGCCCTCCAAGAGGCCATAACTTAGAGGAACACCTGATTGCCACCCTGGGAGGGAGAGTGACTGCAATCTCTTGTTGGATACTTTCTTCAGTTGCCATATGGATCATGCATTCTTCTTAGGCTTCAGAGCACTTGCAAACTGCAATAGAAAACGTCTCACAAACTCCGCAAAATAGGTGATTACCCCCACGGATAAACTGTCAAACCACTTTAATGTGGTTGATCTCAACTTTGTGAAGTATAACTTACACTTAAGGACATCAGAAATTTTTAACGGACATATAGACAATTTGAATGACGTGAGGTGGTCGTTGGGATCCGACCGCCCTTTATATTATTCTAAAACGTGCGTCTTGAACTTCTCTAGTGGTTCAACTCCCAAGACCTGTAGAGAGAAAGCATTCTCTGACTGCCTCTGTACCTTAGTTTGCGCCGGTCTATTTCTCACCTCCATAGAGGCGGATGTGGCGCTGTCTTGGTACTACCCGTCGACAGGCTTCTCCTGCAAGTGGATCACTCTTCCCCCATTGTTTGCTAATGGTTCTTCTTGAGGGGGTTTAGGCACTCCGTGTTGGATCAGTTCTCCTCCTGTGACAAGGATTGCCTCTATGACAGCCATGACTCTTAGCACCTTTACAAATTATCCTGACTTTTGATTGATGGTCTGAGTTCTCAAATATTACAGACCTTGTTAGAGAAATTATTTCATGAACTCCCTAGTACAGGCTACTTCACCACATTCCTCTAACTGGATTATCCCTGTTGTTGTTGTTGGGCTCTTCTTCTTGTTGACGACATGTTTTCTCACTCTTCACACCTTAAAGGTGTTGAATCCTAAATTGTATGGGAAACACGCCCAAGATATAGAACATTATAGAGAGAGAGAGATAGAACAACCAGAAATGTGTAACATTTATCTTAACATTGACCCCCTATTTATAGGAATGAGTCTAGATTTTACATATCGGTTCCCTCATTATTTGTCTCTTAGAAAGACAAGAGAATTGATTCGGTCGATAGGAAGTTCGTCGGTCGTTCGTTTTGTCTTGAGTCTACCAACAACTTGTCCAAAAAAGGATGTTTATTGTCGATCATCATGAGAGTCGATCCCCACCCTGCGAGAAGTTCCTTGGTACATTCCTCAGATCACTAGAACCATATGCATCCTTCGCCAGTAACCAACCCAAATGATCGTCAAAAGACCTCGTTTGATCGTCCGTATCTACCATCTGAGCTGTTCATATGTTTCGAGCTTTGTGCTGACATAATTTTCACATACAATATTTATATATATATATATATATATATATATATATATATGCAATTATTACTAATAATCCGCTTGAACTTCTAGACAATATGAATTAACCCAAGTGACCTCATATCAAGAACTGGAGATTATTATATGGATTTGGCCGAATACATTTCGTCGACATGGACTTTTCTATTTTTGTATGAAGTTTAGGTGTTCTATTTGTATATATATAAGAATGGTGTGGTATTTATGTAAATGTTCCTTATATATATAGCTTAGCTAAAACGGATACATCAGGAAACAACGGCAGTTTGTTATAATTTCAAGTAATATAATTAATTTAATTAGTTACTTCCTTTATTTATGATTAAATCTCCATCATTCGGTTTTATTAAGTAAAAAATAAAATGGCAACATATGCGTACAATGAACACTCCAATCAATGTATGGTGGCTATAACTTTGTTTATAATGAGGAAAATATAAATATATTTCATATCTATTAAATAAATCATTTCAGACTTTTGACTTTGCTTCATTAAAGTAATACATGCTGATCTAAGAATTATGATTGAAGTTTAACTTATTGTTATTTTCGTGAGGTGGGGTGCATTTGAATCAAGTCGGCACGTTAATTGATTGAGACTCGAGTCAATAATTAACTCCTGAGCTGAGTTCAAAGAGCTATTGATACAATTTGAGTCAAGTTTAATTTAATCCTCAATCCCTAAACTGGTTTAAGACTTCTTATAATGCCATTGGCCAGTCTATTTAAAAATAAATAAGCTGAGTCTCGAGTTAGTTCAAATTTATAGAATTAAGCATCAACCGACGTGGTCGAATTGAGGCATCGACCTAAGTGGTTGAAATAAACTTATCAGCAGAAGTGGTCGAACTGAGCCCACCAGCTGAATTGGTTGAGCTAGGCCTATATGTTGAAGTAGTCAATCTAGCTCGAGACGAATCAGCTACCAGGGAAAATCAACATTACATACAAGTACTTGTGTCCATCCTTATTTAAAACGTCACTTGACATCCATGCCACGATCTTTTCATCGAAACATTATGGATGTGCACGTTACTGTGCATAATGTAAGTTTATAATATTTTTTATTTCCTATTATTTATGGGAGGTAAGGGAAAAGTGATGTGGAGACTAGAGAGACTAACCAATGAGATCCCGACTCTCTCACACTGGAACCAAAAAACCATCGTCCGAACCATTCTCTCCTTCACCGGAGATTAAGGGGAGCAATCAAGAATTTGAGCTCCTGCGACACATCAACCACCTTCATCTAAAATACAAAATCTTTTCCAAGTTATGTAAGTTCATGGACAATATAGAATTCTATGTCATAAAAAGATTCAACAGTAATGTATGTTCTTTGTTTAGGTTTAATACGTGATACAGCTAAAACTAATAGCGGTGAAAACAACATACAAATTATAATTCCATTCTTTTCATTTAAATTTGAAACAAATACGGTAACATTAAAATGTAAGTAAATTCCCCCATTTTTTAGTGCCATTTACTTACATAGCACCCAATACCTCTGTATTTATATATCTAACACCTACACTTTCATTTACACACATAGAACTCAAATCTTTGATACCACATTTACCACATTAAAAAAAAAAAGGTATTATCATCATTTTTGTAAAATAAAATACGCCTTTTTTGTGCATAGTTTAAAGCACCAAAATATTATAAATGTAAATATAAAAGCTTATTTGTGGATATATATATATAATATATATATATATACATAAAAGTGGGTTACATATGTAAATCTCCCCTTTTCTTATTGCAAATTAAAATTTTTGAAATATTGTGTCAAAATGAGCCATTTATAATCCTCATGTGAATATAAACTTTTTTTTTCTTTATACGACCAAGATGCAATTTTAAAACTGTTTTATTTTTTTATTGGTAATGGTCAAACAATCAAAGCTTAATTTTATTATATTAAAAAGCAATTGCATGAGACAAATGATATTCAAATAATTACAGAAGTCAACATCATCACTGAAATAAAAAAAAAAAAAAACTATTTATTGATGGAAATATATTGAGGCTAAACTCAATCGCCAGATGGACATATCACTTGCCATTCTCCAAATAATTCGAATGTTTTCAATGGAGCTTGATTTAGCTTTACCGAGCTACATAAAACAAAAGTTGTAAGTGGATTAGAGGGGAAGATCGCATAACATATAAAATCTCAATAGATAATTTTTTTATTTTAATTCATAAATTTAATCAAACAAATGCTAGCCATATATTTCTTTTTGAATCTTTTTGAAAATCTCTATACATTGAATTGCAATTTATTTAGGATTCTCATTTTGGGATAATAAACATCTCCCTCATGCATAGCTTTTTAATCTGATGTTGATGATCAAATTTGACTTTTAAAACGTGATGAAAAATAACTTAGAATTCTCGCCTCTAGAGAAGTTACACTAATGGGACAAAATCGTGAGACCATTAGACTAAAATGAATAATATGTCAATAGATGAGAGTCTGAGATATTACATCACAATTATATATACTTATATCAAAATTATTGAAATATTTAGATCATCTTTTAGGATGCTATATTTCCATATTTCATGAAATGGCATGTTTTTAGAAAGGTTTGTTACGTGGCAAATGAAAATTGAGAAATTTGAGCCAACTGATATCATGAAAGCGTTACCTTTCTAATTCTTGTGAGGATGAAAAATTATCAATTATTATAGTATGCATGGAGTCGAATAAGCTGGCAAACAACAAGCCCTATTTATCTAAAAGTGTGATGAGAACATGAACAAATGTCGCTAAATGCTGAAAACCATTTTTAAGAAAATTTTTGTGAAAGATAAAAAGAAAAGGAGACGAAATTATTATAAAAAAAATCATATTGTATGTTTATAACACTCTTATTATTATTATTCTATAATAATCAACTATCTTTAATACCCTTTGAAAGGTGGCTCTGTTGCACTGAGGCGTCTGCAAGCTTTGTTCTCCTGCTCTGGTTCAGCTTCACGAGTTTTGTGAAACAGATATTCAAAACATGAACAAACAATGCAGATAGTCAGTAAATAACTTTCTAATTTAAGGATGGGAATGCTAAATAAAAACATGAAGTATAAAAATAATTGTAGGAAAGTTATGGCTGACCTGCTATTCTAGCCATCCAAATGTCGTTCTTGTTGCGGAGTTCTTCCAATAACCCACTGGCATCAGAAGATACTTGATCCTCACTAATTGCCATGGCTTGTTTAGCCTTATCAAGCGCCTAATGAGACAAAAATCCGCAAAGATTAGCTACGCCAATAATATTTAGAACATATTTTATGATTTTTTATTGTGGAAGTAAAAAAGTTATTATTAGATGTTATTTTGACCCCAATTATTGAACTAAGGTAAAATGACACTTTTGTAATGTGGTGCAACTCACCTACCACATCTCACCTACCGCTCATCAACCGCTCACCTACCTCTCACCTACCACTCTCTTGCTTCTATAAATAGAGAGGGTGTGAGGCTTAGGAGAGCAAGGGAAGAGATCTTAAGCTACCACAAAAGAGGAGAGAATAGCTAGAGAGCTAGAGAGGAGGAGAACATCCTGAGGCCTTGTATCAAAGTGTCGCTTGGGAGGGAGGCTATAGAAGGAAGATGAGGGCTCATCTCTATGTATAAGCTATGTATTCTTCATTTTTTTTGCCTTAGTGAACTATTTGATTGATTCCCTCCCGTGGAAGTAGATCCAGTTGGATCGAACCACATAAATGATTTGTGTTTGTTTGTGTACTTTGAGTTTCATTTCTATGCCAGGAAGTTTTATCTCACAACAATAGATTTCGAAGAGAGCTATATATAACACGCACAATATTTTTTACATAATTGGTGGACTGCTAAACTTTCATGATATATATGAAATTTGATTCATTAGAAACTCCATAATAATCAATTGTGTGAACTTAAAGGACCGATGATTATGTTAAAAATGTGAAATAAAGAGAAGATAATACAGCATATGGAAGCCCGTTTAAGTGAAAGGTTGCATTCATCCTTTATTTTACATTCGCAACACCCAATTCCTATGTATTTACATTTCTAACGCCTAAATTTTAGTTTTTTTTTACATTTATAAAACCCTAATTTTTTAATATCACGTCAAAAATAGTATTAGTTTAACTTTTTAAAGTTAAATACATCTTTTCATAGATAAGCAAGGTGGCATATATGTGAAAATTTAAGTTTGTTTGTTAGATATGTAAATACACAGGAATAGAGTGGTATGTATATAAAACATCATTTATTTTAACATACAAAACTATGAAATAACCAGTGAAAATCATCAACATCTAATGTAATAAAGTTTGAGGAGCCATTTAAAGAACTCGACGGCATGAAATCTACAATTAATTTTCCTTGCAATGAAACCTATTTATTAAGAAAATTTTGATACATTCAAGTATTGATGAAATGATCAAAATAATTCTTGATATCATATACATAAACATAAGAGGATCTTACTCAAACCACACAATTCTAATGACACAAAAAATTATGATATTTACCTTCATAACATTCAAATCTTTAACATCTCATAGAAAATACCTCTTAGATTAACTTTAATGAAATGAAATATATCTTTACATGTATATATATTAATGTGATTATTAAACAAAAGTGATACAAAAGTATACATCAAAACTCAAATGTTAGATACAAAAATACCAGGATATTATGGTGTGCGTATGTAAATTTTGCAAAAATGTATCCATATAGAATATGTTCAAAGTCATCTCAATCAAATTATTATTTGAGCTTTAATTATGAACTCCACCTTTTTGACACTTTAATCAATGTATAACAATTTTCATCTAGGTTGTAGTGAGATTTAGAGTTTATGATTCTCCATTAGTCAAATCCATAATCAAGGATAAGAATTAACAGAAATGTAAGCATACCTCCTTTGCAACGGTGCAACCCAAACTGAATGCTTGACATAAGTCAGCATGAAACGTTCCAAAATTGAGAGCTAACTTTAGTCGAGTTTGGTTCAGCTCTGGCAATTTCGATGCCTCTTCCTGCAGATCGGAAATGTCAATAAATCATCTGAATTGGATCCAAGGAAAACCATTAGGGACTAGCTGTTTGGTTGCAAAATTTATCAAAAGTTTGAAATGCAAACTAAAAATGACGTCAAATCCAATGCAAGAAGAAGCAAGATCGTCGATTATAGAAAAATGCACAAAGAAGCAATAGAACAAACAATTGAAATGAAAAAGGAAGCAATAAATCAATTGAAAATGGCAAAGGAAGAATTCTTGCCATGGCAGCATTATATGCTTCGATAGCAGCAACCTCTGCATTCACCCTCCCCGGCCCTTTTGTGACCATCGCCGCGTAGCCGAGGCAATCCCCCTTCATCATCATATAAAAAACCCTAGTCTCCGTCGTCATCTTCTTAGCCACGTCCTCTTTTCCGGAAAAAGATAAGCTGCGATCGATTAATTCTAAAATATCCTTACAGATTTCTCTGATCTCGTCCGCAATCAACCCCTGATATTCTCTGGCGGATTCCCTCCGGGAGCATTTAGCGCTGCTATCGAACACCACAGAATCGAGGTGGCGCCAGGTATTGAGATGGCCATCGATGAAGAACTTGCAGGCAGAGCTGAAGCAATCGCGCTCGTCTTCAGTGAGATCCTCGGTCGGCATCACCATTTGGATGAGCTTCTTCGTGTAGTCGAACATGGATCGGTAGTCCCTGGTCCTCATGGTCAAACGGGCGAGATGGAGGAGCCCCTCCCTCGTCTCTATCGGATTCTTCGCTGCTACGTCGGCCATTGTTCCGCTGGTTATGTTCTTGATGAGTGAATCGGTTGACAAAGAAAAGAAAAAGGTGATACGGATGGAAGGATGGTTTGAAGGGTTCAGAATTTATAGTTGATTTCTTGCAACATTTTTGCGATGAAGTCCCTAAAAAAACTAATATATTGGATTACAATACCTTACAGCGGAGAATTGTGGGGGAATTTGTCAATCCATGTGTTTACATTTGACAAAATACTTTTCCCAAGAAGGGATTGCCGTTCGACTTCTCCGGTGTCTGAGGCTCGTCAAATACATCTTTGTGATGTCCGATCTTCATTATCGACCACTGCAAAGATGTCTTTGGTGGGTCTCACTTTCAACATTTTTTTTTAAATTTGATTATTGTGATCGACGGTGGAGATCAGACACTTATACGAAATAATTTCTCCCTCCATAGGGGGCAATGGGAGGAGGTGGACAATGGGGGGGGGTGGACCCCCCCTTTTTTTTTTTTTTTTGGGGAAGATTTAAGCAATGTATTTCTATCATTAGTTTCAGTATATTCCAAGTATGGATGAATAATTCAATTTTTTTTTGTTTTTTTTTTTGTTTTTTTTTGTTTTTTGGATTATTATAAGTCTTTTTTTAGTCATCTTAATAGCAAATTTTCATTACATCAAGTTTTTTTTAAATAAAATTAATATTATAATCATTATCTATATAAATTTAAATTTAAAACTTCTCTCTCCTTTAATTTTTTTATGAGAAATTTATTATTCATTTTTACATATCTAACACCCATACTTTGATATTTACACTTATCATATGTTAAACCCATGTGTTGTTCACTTTAAAAAATATAATGATGATTAAAATTTAGAATGATGTGCATGCAAATGTAAATGTCTAAGCTATAGATATGTAAATAAATAAAAATTGAGCCTATGTAAATGCCCCATTTTTTAAAATTATTATAAATATAATCATTAAAGTAAAAATTCAAGCAATACTAATTTCTTATTAAATTTGTAAAATTTTTAGCAGCAAAATTTTAATGCATTTTATAATATTAAAGAGTTTAAAAAATATTCAATCCCACTTAGATTCCAGAGCAGGCACAAATGATGGCAACCACCTAACGCATGTTTGAGGTGTTATATAGGGCTGTCAGAAAAACTCGTTGTCTGCGAACAATTTGTGTTCGGTTCGTTCGTGAGTTCGTGTTTAATTCGTTCGATAAGTAAACGAGACGAACGTGAACAAATTTTTTTTGTTCGGTTAGTTAAATAAACCAAACACGATTAGTGATACGTTCGTTCGTGTTCAAATCGTTATTGTTCGAAATATAAAAAATTTATGATATTTAAAAAAATTTAATTTTATAAATTATAATATATAATAAATTAATAATAATAATATATTAATATATTATATGAGTAATATACTAATATACATATTACATATAAGTTATATTAATATTAAGAATGTCAAACTGACTCGTCGTTCGCGAACAGTTCGTGTTCGGCTCATGTTCGGCTCTTTTGTTAAGAAACGAATTATGACAGTAACTTTACGAACAATTTCAAACACAAGCTTATTTCAAATAAACTAAATTTCAAACAAATCGAACAAGAACACAAACTCTGTTCGTTTACACCCCTAGTGCTATATCTTCACCTTCCCCAACCTATGACGATTAAACTTAAGTAATATTAATTTAAACTGTTATTATAAGAAATAAAATGAACAATTAAGTGAACTAATTAAAACTTATTTTATATTAAAAAAAAAATTTTTAAAGCATTTTTAATAATGTAAAATAAAAATCTTAAAATTTAACATTTTCTCGATAAATTATATATTATTACTATTATTGAGCGAGTCAACCCACAAGCTAACAAGTAAAGTTAGGACATGCTTAATCTTTACCAATTAGCTCATCGAGCTCAACTCACGAGTCAATTATCTAGCCGACCTCTAGCACTCCCGAACCAACCCGGCTCATTTACATCCCTAGCCCAACCATTAGTCGAGACTCAAAATTATCTTCAATAAAAACACCACATAATGAATAGTAATCTCTCACATCAACACCAGAAAAAAAAATGACAAAAAATTGAACTTCTCAAATACAAACAATGGTCCTGCCCATTGGTTCCAGCTGAAGCTCCAATTTTACACTCTAAATCGGGAAAAATTATTACGTGTGAGCTCAGATGTATCTAAATTTCATGAACAACAATATTGTACATTGTTGAACAGTGTACATCAAAGTACATAAAATCTGGATGCATCCAATTTCCATATGTAATATTCTCTCCTCGATGTTTCGCTAGACCAAGTGATTGGGATGAACATGTTCATCTTCAAAATAAGCAAAACGATAATACATATCATCAAGCGCAATAATCCCATAAAAGAAGGAATTCAGAGGCTTAATATCAAAGCCATAAAACATAGATAAATGACAGCAGCAGCAAATCATTTTATAATGAATTTCATGGCTAAGTGAAGGTTGAGGAAACTAAATGTCTTAAACCATCTGGATTATGGCAGATCACAGTTTAAAGGGGTTGGTTTCTAGAGATAGGTAATTTATGCTCATATGGATTTATTTAACAGATGGGATGGCATGCTCCCTAAGTGGTTCAAGATAGGGGTGTTAGGATCAGTCATCTCAACTGATGTTTCAAAAAACAACTGTGATCTCCAAAGACATTCAAAAGCTCGATCAATCTTAGGGTCGAAAGGGGCGAGGTCAGCCTCAACTCCCCTGTGCATAAAAAAGATAAATTAAAATTATGCAGCAAGCAATCATACTGACTCACACAAATCAGTCAAAAAAATCACATGCAAATGGCAATCACACTGGCTCACACAAATCAGTCAACAAAATCACATGCAAATGCAACACACACACACACTATGTAAACGAACATAAAAGGAAGCAAAAACCAAATTAACAATAAAATATTTTTTGGCATTTTAGTCTTTTATTTTTTCAGTTTTTTAATTGTCCAGCACCTGCAAAGAAACACAGCAATGCAGACGCATCAATAATAATAACAATAAATGCAAAATAAAATAAGATAATAATAATGTCAAATTTAGGTCCTAAAATTTTAAACTAAAGGTTTCCTAAAAGCAGAAATAATTATTAACGCTTTTTTCCCGCGACGGCACCAAAAACAAGCCAAACAGAATAAAGGCCGCTAAAAAAAAGAAGAAAAAAAAAACAGTTGAGACCATGAGGAGCCATAAAAAAACAGAACTGATGAAGGCCTGGAAAGCAAATGCAGGAATCCAGGACCCACAGTTCTCTGCTATTATTCATTAGCAGGCTTTGAGGCCTCCTTCACATCATCAGCCCCTTCATCCTGCAGATATACAGTTCACATTTAAAAATATTACAAAAAAAAATCATGCATTTAGATATCTATCACCTAAAATTTGATATTTACACTTATAACACCTGGAAGGCGGTGTTTTTTATGTTATATTAAAGTCTTGAGTGCCATGCATGCAAATATGAAAGTTAAAGCTGTCAGATATGTTTACACATATGAAGTATTTATGTAAATGCCCCATAAAAAATATACAAGATTGAGTTGCTCATGACAATTTCGAACTGACCTGCATATCAGAGGTCCACAGGGTGAGATTATCACGAAGGAGCTGCATTATAAGAGTACTGTCTTTGTAAGATTCCTCTCCAAGGGAATCCAGTTCTGCGATAGCTTCGTCAAATGCCTGATTAAAGTGCAGCCGAGACGAGAGGGAACATTAGTGATTAATGAAGATTAATAACTTGATAACAGCATGTATTTCACATATCTCACACCTAAACTTTCATATTTGCATGCATTGCAACCTCTGCATGAAAAAGATGTATTTTACTTTTACTTTTACGAAGTGGTAACAGTGCCTTTTTTTTTTTTCCCTGATATTAAAGATTTGAGAGTTGTGTGTATAGATATGGAAGTTTAGGTGTGAGATAAGTAAATACATAAAATTGCGTGCTATGTATGTAGATGCCCAAATTTGGGATCACTTGGCAGAGAAGAATTAGAACATTATATCTGCTCGTGAGTCGATGATTAACATACTAACCAAAATTGATAAAATTGCACCAAATTTGAGACCTGATATCCTCGATAGGATGCTCATGCGGAGCAAACATATATGTTAGATCGAGCACAATGTTCATACATGGAGATGAGGCATCGACCGCATCCATGGGACTTGAGGTAGTAAAAAATAGATGCTGATTCCATGATAAGATCTAAATTTGAATCCAAATTCTATGTAGAAGTTCAACATGGAGTGTGAGGAACTGAAACTATCGTATTTATGAGTTGATTTTAATCATATTTCTATGCTCCCTAATTCGAAGTGTTGAGATCAAAATGAGATATGCTTCTCAATTTGAAATGAGCCTGGAAACATTCCTAGTGGCAGTGAAAAAAAAAAATTGTAGGAATGGCAATAAAGTATGAATTCAAATTCAATATTTTGTCAATAACTATTTGGAAAGGAACCAATCTAAATCTCTTTTATAGAGGGCTATAGAGCTATAAAAAAAACTCATCATTCATAATAACTTTTGACCGGCTTGCTAAAAAACCCGTGTTTAATTCTAACACAAACAAACCCGTGTTTAATTCTAAACACGGGTTAATTCTAAACACGGGTTAATTCTAAAATCATTCATAATAACTTTTGATCAGCTTGCTATAAAAAAAAACTCACCATTCATAATAACTTTTGATCGGCTTGCTAAAAATCCCGTGTTTAATTCTAACACAAACAAAAAAATTTTCTACCTTGTTTTGGCTTGGTTTGGCTCAAATTTATTAAAAAATTAATATTTATTATGACTTAATCATATTAATTTTTTATATTGCATTTATAAAATATTAAATTTTACTATTTTTAAAATGATTCAAGTTGATTTCAAACTGAAATCAAGCAGAATACGGCTATGTTATTCACGAGCCAGTTTTAATATGAACCAATTTCAAACCAAAATAATTTTGGGCGAGTTAGAACATAAACAAGCATTGGGCTCAATTAAGTTTGACTCATTTACACCGCTAACTAGTAATGTCCACTAAAATAAATAAAAAATAAAAACTAGTAATGTCCATTTGAACAAAGGCCCTGTCCATAAACAACCTAAACAATCATGCAATAATAGCATCCGAATGCAAAAAAAAAAAAAAAAAAAAAAAAAAAAAATCAGAATTAGCACCAAGAGAATACAAGGTAAATTAGTTAAAATAAAAGCAACCGAGGCCAATTGTGATATGTTGCTAAGAGAAATAAAAGTTAGAAGACAGCTTAAACATATGCATCAGAGCCAATCACATAGAAGGATCTAAATAAGAGTCAAATATAATCTTGTAAGAACCAAAAACTTTCTCCCTCTCTGCTAGTTATCGTAATCTCTGTCGCCTTCCAACATTGTTTGTCACGTACCGACTTCCTCAAAATGCAATTCTATCAGTTTTCTTCCCCGTTCACTATTGTCGTCTTCCCTTTTTTTCACCGTTGTTTTACTGTCTCTCTCGTCTATTTAGGGAGGACCGACGCCAAAGTCAAAGGTATTACACTAACCACTCCCCCCCAATAACCACCAAACCCTAACCACCGAAACTACTATGTTACTCCTCCAAACCCCGTGATACACTAACGATCGGAGTCAGTGGTGAAGGCAATAACGGGATGGTGGCGTAAAGAGCGCACCCCCGCCCGAAAAAGGGCACCCCTCTTCACACTCCCTCTCCTCCTTACTCGAACGAATAAGTATTGTAAGCTTCTCTTTTCCCCTTTCTTTCTCTTCTTTCTAGTATAATGCAAGTCTTTTCTATAAGAACATTGGTGTGGTTTAGAAAATCGACGGTGAAGTCACCTATCACAACTGTGGGTCAAATAAGATAACATTATGATATTAGGGCCTAAGGTTTGTGCAAATCTAGAATAAAATCCACAAAAGAACTTACATTCAAATTCACATAACGAACTCATAATTTGGACAATTATTCATAGCGTGAGATGGAAATAAAAAAAAAATACAAAAAAATCCAGCACAACTGATAATTTATAGCCTATAGTGAAATGAAAATGAGAAATCTAGAATACTAAAAAATATACAATTAATTGAAAATTATGCAAATGAAGAAACCATGTTAAATCAAACTAGAATAAAAATAAATCAATCATGCAAATCAATAAAAAAGATTTTAAAAATAAATAAAATTAAAATTACCAAATCAACTCTCACTTGTCTGGGAGAGGATTTAGAACAAAATTCACATACACGAACAAATCTACTTTAAAAAATACACTATCTTTGTACAAAAGTAAGAACACTCTTTACAGAAAAATTCCTCTTGAAATTCCCAATCTATCAATTATAAAAAAAGCTGAATACCAGAAATCTTATAATAACACACATCTCATAGATGAAAATTCCACAAAAACTATTGAAGATAACTGTTGAACCCACAAAAAATCTTCCCAAAAGTCAACCCACAAAGAATTCTAGCAAAATAATAAAAAAATTGCTCAATTAATATATATTAGGCAAATTTTGGCAAAGTTATTATACTTTTTTTGAGAAATTCATGATATATATGCCTTTCTTTCTACTTGGAAAGGTTTCTTTTGAATCCATCTTCAGTCACAAACATTATTTTATTTTCAATGATAGCTTCAAGAAAAAAAGTAGAATAACCATTCTAAAACTGTGCAGATGATGTTATGGACATGAAACTTGAAATATGAGAAAACAGAATAGAATTTAAGGCATCGGTTGATGTTCATAAGATAGAGTCAAATTAAATATGTTAAAAAAGGACTAAAATAAGAATTTATAAATTGCTAATATGTAAACATTTGTTACAATTCGTTGTATGACTTTATATGATAACAATATTCTAATAATTAATGTTTTAGGGATTTCAGTAACACTTTCTAAATTCAAAAAACTCATTATGTTAGGACATAATTTATTTGTAATAACTCTAATTCACATATTCAATAAACGTAAACTTGTAATCATTAAAAATAACTTTAATACCAATATATTAATGCAAATCAAGCAAATTACTAACAGATGACGCATACAATGATAGTGCCAAAATACTATTATATGATGACTTAAATTTATAATTATCAAGTTCATTAAGTATTTTGAATAATTAAAACGTGTCATGCTCATCGTAAGGGCAAAAGTCTTTAAAGAAGAATAATCCAAATGATTTTAAAAATAATCTTAATAAATTATGAACTTATGTATCAATCGTTGGAGATTTGAGTTCTGTGTCCTGCTAAAATTAGTTACCATTAATATATTAACACAGATTCACTCATGGCAAGAGGTTCATTTTATGAATTTGTGAATAACGAAATAGACAACCAAAAACCAAGCAAATTAGTTTGATTCTCACAAATAATTTCATCATTAGATACTTTAACAAGAGTTATATTATTAGATTCTCTAATTGATTTACGGCCCAAATTTGTACAAGTTCATAACCGAGAATAGATTTAGATTCTAAGATTTAAGTTCAAAAGATAACTCATGTTCAAATTTAGTCCCAAATTTATATTTTGATTAAGATTAATGTTCAGATATGATCTCATTTTCAATTTTAAGTTAAAGTTTTAAACGGTTTCTTTAAGTATTATCAAAATTTGTTAAATATAAATTGTAACATAGTCTAAACTAGACCATGTTTAAGAACCTAAATGTAATGATAACGATGTTCGTATAAGAATATCACTCATAGGAGCATAAGACGTAATAAGAGAGTAAGTTTAATATTACTCAAACCATAAAGCTCCATCTAAAACCTAAATCTAATGTTTTTGGAGACTTGTAGCACAATTCATGCTCAACTTCTTGCCTAAATCTTTAAAACATATATAGTAATAACAAAGTAATATGTAAAAGAATCATATATGACAATAAGATTTAAGAACAAACAAAATATCTAAAATGCAAGTCATCTTGTTTGGAAAGTTGTAAATTAATCATGTAATTGATCTTGTAATCATTAAACGGCTTATGATTTTTAACTTTATGTTTCATATCAATTTATAAGGATTTTGTTGCGGTAACGATACTTTACCAAAAATATAGAGCAAATCTCATTAACTTTTAACTAGTAAATTCAACCACTAAGGATCAAACATATTATAGATTTGAAAAAATTCTTCTAAACTATATAGTCAATGCAGAATCACACCTCCCAAAAAAAATTAAGGATATAATTCTTGACGTCACAATAGTCATGTTAAAACATTATGGTATTGTAACTAAATTCGTTTCATGTAAATTGAATTTTTTATTGTGTTTGTAAACTTGAATAAATGTTATACCCTACTTCTAGAAATTAATATAATATAACATTAATCACTGATATAAACTATAATATAAATCTTCTAAGAGAAAATAATTTGATTATGTAGAGCTACAATAAAACATTAAATCATGCAAAAACACTAAAAGTTTGCATATCTCAAACATTTGATTTGGGCACTTAATCATTATCGATACTAAAAATTTGCACGTAATTATTTAGAGTGTGTACATAATAAAGAATTGATTTTAGACCTTATCTTAATTCTGTTTTTAGTTAAATTTAACCAACTACCTGTCCTGGACAAAAAGTCTCACATCGGCAAGGTGTAGGGCCGAAAAGCAGTATTTAAGTCTGTCTTGGGCTGCCCACTCCCCTAAGAGT